GCAGCTGCATGCTTGACTTTTCTCAGTTCATGGGCAGTTATTTTGCACCTTGGTTTTTCCACACGCTTCTTGCGACCCTGTTGACTATTTTGAATGAAACGCTTGATTGTTCGATGATCACGCTTCAGAAGCTTGGCAGTTTAAAGAGTGCTGCATCCCTCTACAAGATATCTCCCTATTTTTGACTTTTAGGAGCCTGTCAAGTCCCTCTTCTGACCCATTTTGCCAAAGGAAAGGAAGTTGCCTAATAATTATGCACACCTGATATAGGGTGTTGATGTCATTAGACCACACCCCTTCTCATTACAGAGATGCACATCACCTGATATGTGTAATTGGGAGGAGGCTTTGCAGCTTGGAGTAAGACAACATGCACAAAGAGCATGATGTGGTCAAAATACTCATTAGCCTAATAATTCTGCACTCCCTGTAGTGCATGTTTAAGAACAGCTGAACCGTCGGTTTGTTCCTGTTTAACCTGTTTCAGTGAATCCTGAAATGTATGAAATAAAAAAGACACTTTGCTCGCTCAGGAAAAGGACAAATGATTTCTTCTCCTCTTATAATGTCTGGATGTAGGTGCACACGTTTGTTTCTAACCAGATAGAGGCATCCAACAATAATGACCAGACACTAACTCTTCTGCTTTCTGTCACAAAGGAAACTTGAACTGATGTTTCATTCACCTGCTAAAACCGATAATTCACGTTCTGGAAAGCCGGTGATGTGATGATAAAAACAGCTGCACATGGCACATTTCTGAACCACGTCAGCACATCTCTGACGAAAAAGGAAAAGTTCCTCCTTCAGCCATTTAAACCCTGTAGGTGTCGCCCAGCTGCCGGGTCTCCGGCTGTGCAGACATCACGGCGGCCTTCATTCACCCTGCCAGAGCCCCGGCCCTCAGCGGTGACCCCCCTCGCATCAAACTCGACTGCTCGTGTCCTGTCTGCACGCCGAGTTGTCGTGTAGGCTGTGTCGCTCTGTCACAAGACATGTCCCACATTTGCAGCCGCCGTCGTTGGCCAGCAGGATGAGAGCGTCTGTCAGGAGAGCTGACACGCATGCCACTTTACTGGGCGACTGACAGAGGGCCACGCCACACTGTCACTTCTCCCAGATCTATTGCCTGAGGATAAACATGGACACACACACACACACACACACACAGTCACTCACATGCGTTAATAACACAAGAGTAAACAGAGTTGGGATCTCAGAGAGTGACTGACTGACAGGCTGCCTGCATGACCGGCCGGCGCTGAGGAAGCCGGAGCTCTGTGTCACCCCTCATTCTTACAATCTCCAGCTGTCACATCAAACACTGGGCTCCCGTGTTGCTCCTCCTCCTCCCAGCCTCGGCTCCACGGCCTTCCTCCCCCACCTCACCCACTCAGCCTCCCCCGCCTCCTGTGCTGAGATCTCATCAGAGCTGCATCCTGCAGTGCAGGAGGACACCAGGCCCAGAGCATCATCCCTCCTGATCGTCCCTGAGTAAACAGCGCCTCACGCCGGCTCCTCCCTCCTCCCAGTCCTCCTCTTTGGGGTTTACACTTGTTATCTATGTGGGATTTACAGTCGAGTCAAAGAATTTCAGGGCTTCGGGTTTTGTGGGAACCGCGGTTGTCAAATCTCTTATGTGATTAGCTGCAGACGGGCGAGGGAATCCAACCCTGATGATGTGTTTGTTCACCGTGAGCCTCCGTAACACCTCCAAACCTCTCTGAAGTTTGCTGAGTGAATTAACGTAACAGTGGCTCCTGTGTTGTTCTGCAGAGGTGGAACCAGAGCGGAGCAAAGCGCTGAGCTTCACTCCCATTTCACTTTACTTCACTGTTTCACTTCCTGTAGCTACACGATGCTAAGACGTGACAGGCTTAGAAAACACAGATTAAACCAGAGTGTTAAATATTTTTCTTCTGACCCAGTTCATGAAAGCCAGTCTGGTTGGGTCCCCTCATCATCATGGACTTCACCTCCAGACGTTTCTCCTGGTTTTGTTTCGTCTGTTCCAAAATAAAATGATCTAAAATTCAACAGAAAAGCAAAGATTAGAGAAGAAAAGATGAGAACACATGTGCAGCATCCCATTATTTCATAAGCAGCTGGAACGATCTCCACCAATCACACGATGCTACGTACTGATGGATTAACGAGTTAATTTAACCCACAAACTGAATAATTTTATGAATTTTAGGTGCTTTTATTTTTTAGATTTTGTAAAGTTTTACTGATTAAACTTCTGGGTTAGTTAAATGTTTTCAGTCCTGTCGTTTCGTTGGAGTAACTTCACGGTGCTGTTCTGGACGTGTGCTCCAGAACCTGCAGCAGGTGTTCACCTGTCTCAGGTATTTACTCGACCTGACGTCCAGTGAGTGAGAGAGCTGCAGCATAAGCTTCGCATTAATTCTGAACTAAGTGAACCATTCAGGGAGGTTTGTGACTCATGGGTTCAGGTTTTTATTTGTAGTCGCCCCTGAGCTGCTGCTGCTGACGGACTCAGAGTGCCCTCTAGTGGCTGCCAGGTGAACTACAGCCAGTGCAATAATGCATGGCTGGATGTTTCTCCACGTTATCCTTTATTTATTGAGGGTAATTTTGCTGAGGGCAATGTTGTATTTTTTAACAACATCCTTCTCAGTCCCTCCTGAAAACTGCAGAATTTCACAGTCTGTTGGCCGATGAGCAGCAATACTGCGGAGGTGGTCTTATCTCATTTATGAAGCCAGAGACCTGGAAACAGGTCAGGAACCACATTTATCATTTTTATTTTTGCTTTTCTTTCAAGTTTAGATCATGCTATGCGACTGATTAGGCTTTAAACAGGCAGCGGTGCACTCAGCCTGAGCTACTTGCTTTACTTTTAATAAATGCAGTAATATTGGGACGATATTGTAATTCATGATAGCAGAGATAACCATGAACTCGCTCAAGGATACATCCCACTGTGGGAAATCCCACTGGTGGTGGAGACTAGCTCTGAATGTGAAGTAATGAGCTGGAGGTGGTGCAGGAAGCTGGCCAATAGGTGGCAGTGTGCCTTCATGCAAATATTCATCTCTGAGCGTCTGACTGAAGACAGTGGATCCAGTGATGATGATGATAATAATCACCATGTACAGAAGCAGATGTACTGCTCAGACGTAATGACGATCACTGAGCTGTCTCCGGTGTTTCATGTGTTCTCTGCACCAGAACACATGAACAGAACATGGAAACGTGAAGCTCCTTAAACACCTCCCGGGACTTGAACCCGTCCTGCTGCAGCACCATGCACTGTGTGAGGTGTGCAGACATCAGGACCATCAGCTGCATGCAGCAGCTTTGTGCTTCCCAAGCGGCTCGCTCCGGTGTCACACTTGTTTAACTCCAGTAATGCCGGCCAATTAAGTGTGATGGAGGGCGGCCTGCCGGGAACTCCACACTTTGAGTTCATGCTGGAGACTCCCTGAAGCTCAGGTCAGGAGGCTACAGGCTCCAGACATGAATGATTAATCCTGAAATTGACTTTGTTCTTGTCATCAGAGGCTCTTGTTGCTGCTAACAGTTAGCTCAATAAGACAAGGACAGATGTTCCAGTTTGTCATGAACGCTGTCGTCGTCACCACATCGGGAACAGAGGCAGACAATTAGACGGTTCAGGTCTTTGTCATGCGCAGGTAATAAGAAATCTTACCAACATCTTACTTTTCTGGCCAACTTTTGATGATGAAAGTTGGCTTGAACTTCAAAAGCGGAAAATTTGAGGATCCCTAACGCGAAGCGCCGTTTGAACAAGATCAAGTTTGAAATATTATCAAAGATATTCATTTATTTAAAAGGAAATAGATAATACAAATGAAACAAAATCATTTTGTCACATAAATGATTTCATGAGTCATTAACAGCAGAAAGAATCCAGTTATCTCACAGGAAACTCGTTTGCCGTCTCACTTGCAGACATTAGTCTTGTTGAGTTTTATGACATGAGAAGTTTTGACACAGGGCGCCTCCAAAAAGTGCTTCTGTGGAGTAAATACTGTACAGTGCAGTGCCGAGTAAACAATACATCACATCTGATCATTCAGTGGTAAACATCTTTTATATCAAAGAACATAACTGTTCAAAGTTTCATCAATACAGTACATTTATAGCAGACTTCACATAGACCCTGGGCAACCTCCCAGTCTCAAAGTATTTCACATTTAATTATCTCCCTTTGGATTTCCACCGCCGACTTCTGATTAGTGTTGCTTTTCTGCAACCTTCAGTTCTGTCTCTGTGAGTGCAGCTTCAGCCGCTCTTCTCACAGTTCAGCTGCCCTCTGCTCTCCTTCAGTTTGTCTCTCTGGCCCTCCGGAGTCTTGGAGTCTCCTCTTAAATCGCTCACCACGGCTCGGAGGGTTTTGAACCTGTCTAAGCGGGTGCTCTGGGCCGCCTGAAGCCTGACTTCTGAACCCTGAGATGCACTGAGGGAGCTGAGGGAGCGCACCGCCGCCAGGCCGCGCTCCTTGTTGGAAGGACGGCGTGGTGTGGTCATGGTGCCGAGCTCCTCCGGGTGCTCCATGTCCCTGATGACCTCACACAGGTAGCGGGCCAAGTCCTGGCTGGAGAAGGAGAGGGTTCTGTGGGAGCGGCGGAAGGTCAGAGGGGACGGCAGGGTCTCTGTCTCTGAGGGGGGGATGGCCAAGCGCAGGGCGATGGCCGCGTTGCCGTTCCCGTTAGACATGGCCGCCTTGCTGCTGTCCTGGCTGAGCTTGGTCTGCGGGTAGGAGATGATGCTCTGCGGGTAGCTGTAGCGGAGAGACTGCGCCGGGCTGGGCTGGAGGGAGCGCTGCAGCTCCACCATGTTGAAGGCATTCTGAAGCAGGGAGGGAATGAAGAAGAAGAGCTACAGTTATTCCCTCCTGTGTAATCTCTGCTGGAATTGAAGAGACAATGAAGAAAAAAAGAACCACATTCTGAGACATGACACCAATCTGAGCTCAGCTGATGCCTCTGCAGCGAACGCAGCTTTCTTCAGGCTGAGACGAAGATCCAGCATGTAGGACGAGATGCTGGCAACAACAGCACCATTGATCAGCCAAGTAATTAATTGTCTGATTGCAGAGTGGGGGGGAAGTGCTATTACCAGCACTATTACAACACAAGCATTAACAGCTATTGGTGTCTATGTGCTTAATTTCAGCTAATTGACTCGCATCCCGACTATCTCCAGGGAACTGATATTTATTCTTTATTTCAAAGCACCAACAAACCCTCTTCTCCTCCAAATGCTACTGCTCGCTGATTTTAATTCCTGTCCTTATTTGTACATCCTGTTTTCCTTAAAAAGTCCCCAAAATATAGCGTGATGACATTTAGAATACATCACCGTGAAATGAGAACTTAAACCAAATGCGTGCGTTTAGTTTTTTTTATGTGCTTTGCCTGTCTAAATGTCAGCATGTGTATATTTTTACCTGGTCCTGCTCCCCTCCACCTTCCTCGTCGTAGTTGAGCACATTTTCTCGGATGTCCTCCCACTCGCCGTGGTGAGCAGACACATGGTACACACCCTCCTTCAGGCCCTTGTGCCTCCTCCAGCAGGAGTAGAGGAACAGGCCCAGCATCAACACTGAGGGGTGCCAGAGAGCAGGTTAATGCAGCAGGGAGCACTCTTGCATAATTAAAATGAGATTTTGAGGAGGGAGAGTGAAAAAAAAAAACACATCTTTGGCTGGAAATGAAATTGACAACGTGAGCGGAAAGTTATGATATAAACAGTCAAGTTGTGGAGAATGGAGGAGAAATGTAAGTTCCCTCAAACGTAACATCACTGGAGATAAATAGCTAATGCAGACAGCTAATATGTGACTGTAAACAGACTTTCCATGGCGCTGATCCCTCCTGTAAGGCCTATTAGCTGCACTCGCCCTACAGTTAGGACATACTAATGGAACGTGCGTGGAAACGGAGGCACCACCTCCTCCACCTATTCCCTTTGATGCTGCTGCTCTGTTTCCTGTCTTATCAAAGTCCGCAGTTCCTCAGAAACCTATTAACTGAATTTTTACTCCTCCCAGCTTAAACTCAAAGCCTCAGTGGCTCGGCTCGAACGCAGGGAGGAATGCTGCAGGAAAGGTCCTAAAGCACACACATCAATCACAGCTATTGTGTGCTGAATTATACAACATGCTGGACTGACCTTTAAAGTCCATTAATCTCAACCAATATTTTTCTCCCATCTGCCATCCCTCTCCCTCGTTTTTTTCCTCCTTCCTTCGCTATCTGTTTTTACTAGTTCACACTTTGACGCTCTTTCTTTTTTATCTCTGTGATTTTTTTATTTTTTTTGGAGCTCCTTTCTGTCTTCCCCCTTCTCTTCCTCACTCATTAAGTCTCTTACTGTTCCTGTTTTTCAGTCCCTCTCTGGCCTCTGTCTGGCCTTGGCTTTTATCTCTCACACTAGATGGGATCCATTTCAACTAGAATCGTTTTATATGGTGCGAGCTAAGTATCAGTTTAATTGGAAATCTTCTGAGAAATGCGGGGTAATCACATTAGTCTGGATTTTTAAAGTAATTGCTTTCGAAAGAGAATAATGCACCAACGACTCTTCGGGGGTCACACTTGCAGGTAGGCAGTCATAAACAAAGACAGAAAAACAACTCCCCGAGAGCTAATCTCCACCAAAGCAGGAAAAAAAAATGTTATCTCAATTAAAAATCATCTGTAGTCATTCACTGCCTGAGATGACGTTAACCCCTCAGCTGCCACGCTTGGCTCCAGCAGCACGGTGAGAACACGGCGAGGCGTTCCCACCTGATCCTCAGCTCGGGGTGGAGGGCTGAGCGGCATCGATCGGCTCACCTGGCCTTCCCCTGGCCTTCCCCTGGCCTCGCACCCTCACAGAGAACACGAGAAGCTTGATAAGATCCAACCAGACGCAGGCCCTCGCTCCTCACCTCCAGAACCATCTGCTCCGAGGTGCTGCCCGCGGGCCTGCGCTCACCTGAGCTGATCCTGAACACGCCTCTATGGGCGGAGGAGTTCGATACGCAGCCAAGTGGAGCCGAAAGCCTCCAACGCATGCAATTAAGCACAAGTAAACACAGATCACACACACAGGTTGGCTCGTGCGCTACATCTGCAGCCACCACTGCCTGGAGACGTGTGTGTGTGTGTGTGTGTGTGTGTGTGTGTGTTTACAGTGAGATCAATATCACTCAGGGAGGAGAACAAACATCGCAGTCATTCATCAATCCATAATGCTGCTGCTGCTGCTGCTGCCTCTTTGCCCTCTAACAGTGAACAGGGTTCTTTATGATGTTACCCCAGACCGGACCGGACCGTGCATTATGAATGATTCTGCAACAACACGGCACAATCACAACACTTAACCCTTTCACCGCAGTCTGGGGTTAATGGCAGCAACAGGAACAGAACAAACGAGGCACATGAAACATGAGAGGAAGATAACGGGGAAGCGATGAGTGAGCAGACGGAAATGAGACAGGTGAGGAATGAGGAGGAGTTGGCAAAAACATCATTTATTTATACGTCTTTCAGGGGCTGAACAGAAACAGGCACTTTACAGAATCGTTTGGCATCCAGAACCCATATGGGAAGCTAATTTCCTCCATTCATCAAAAGCAGAGAGTCAGATTTGATGCTGGACTAATGAGGACTGGTCAGACACCGGCTCATCTGGCTCCGTCAATAACCGGCGCTGAACCGGCGCTCTGCTCGGCCTGTGATGGCTCATGTAAAACTTAATAATGGATGATCGCTTTAACTTTTAATGCACGTTGAGGCAGAGTCGGAGTCCCCCTTTAATTTAGCACCCGGCTAGCAGCACGCCGGTGCGTATTTATGGCGGTGATGAGGTCATCGTTAAACAGCTACATCCTGTATAACCAGCTGTTCATTAACCTCACAACACTGGATCCATTTCATTTACAGGAGAAGCAGCAGTTTCTTCTCTTTAAGGTTTTTCTTTTTTTGGGGGGGGGGAAGATTTATTATTTATTTTTTCCAGGATGTGAAAATGTAATTACACTCAGCAAAGAGCTCATTCTCATCTGAATCACATAAAGGAGCAGTCGGTGATTCTCGGTGGGGAGAGAAAAGTTTTAAGCCTTGAATATAAATGGCTGCTCGCCTGCTTCAAATGGACTGCACCTCCTTTTAGTTAGCATGCAGGCAACACATGAATTTTCATGAATGACGCCGGGGCCACATTTCATCATCTCTGAATTCATTATCAAATATTGAAGACTGCTTTATACGTTTCACTCTCAAGTGTCACAATAACTGATGTCCCAACGCTGGCCTCAGGCCCTGGAGGGAGCGTGGAGTCAGTCAGAGAGCCGGGGACAGTGTATTGAGTCGCCCGAGCGTTTTATAAGCCCGCCTGTGACAGAAGCACTCGTAAACAGCTCTGTGGCCCGACACAGCGACAATATGCAGGCTGCACACACATTTAGTTCCTCCATCTCTGTGAGGAAACAGAAAAAGCAACCACCACACGCCACCATCCCTCCAAAACTAACACAATTTACTCTTCAGCCTCAACAATGAGCCAAAGTGATCGTCCATCTTCTTCTGACACTGCTCTCCACATATCGATGCATACGCGTTTAAAACGGACCCGCCGGCACCAGATGTGGGCTCATATTGAATCTTGATCAGTTTAGATCTTAACGCAGCTTTATTAGACTTCTTATACAAGCGGGCCGGTGTCGTCGCTCCCAAACTGGTTCACGTCTAGACAGCTGAAGAATCCATTAGTCGATCGGTTCTGATGGATGATCGACAAAGTTTGCTGCTTTGTTTCAGCGGCTCTCTGCTTTGCCTCCTGACACCGGGAGCTTCAGGTTGTGGATAAAACACTTTAAAACGTGACCGGGGCTCCTGGAGGCTGTGATTGGCAGATTCTTCATCATATTCTGACATTTTACAGGTTAAATGACTCATTCTTGATTCAGCGAGAAAATAAACAGAAGACACATCAATAATAATAATAATAACAATAATAATAAAAAGGAATTAGTCACCGTCTTGTTCAGGTCTTAGTTTTCTTGGAGGAAATGAAAAACTCTTGCACCTGTTTCACTCGTAGCGTTTCTCAAGGTTCAGCCGAAGGTGCTGCTCTTCTCAGATTATACCATAAATGCTCGGCAGTGAACACATATTACAGAAAAAAAAAAGAAAAGAAACCCACAGCATGTCTTACAATTTCAAACAGATCCACAATTGCAGCTTCTTTTGAATCCAGCAGCCAGAGGCGACCTCTCTTCATTGGACCTCTGTCTTATTGACTTCTACTGTCGATGCTGAACGCCACTGAAACTTTCTGTACTTTAACAAAACCACGGCGGATGTTTCACCTCTCAGACCCCTGGTTCACACAAAAACAACATCCAAAATATGAGTTTTTTCCCTCCTACGTACCCGGGCGAGGTTGCTCATGTGTGTATTTACATCTTGTAGCTTCAGTAACACTCAGGCATCAAGTCTTCAAACTCCCAACTTCAGAATTCAGCAGCTCGCTCTCAGCAGGCACAAAGAAACCACCACGTAGCTCTCATCTCATAATTATCGATCTGAAGATTCTGCTCTTCACACCTACAAAGCAGTCAATGGTCGGTCTCAGGTATACGTTTGTGAACCCGCGACCCCTCATGTGTCAGAGTGCAGCCTCGCATCAGCCGATAAGGCTTCAAAGGGAGCCTTTTTCAGCGAGGCCTCCGACTCCCACACCTCACAGCTACCGCATCAGCTCTGCCTTTAAAATGTTTTCCAAAAGCTTCCTTCTTTCTGAGGAGCTTTCTTATCTCCTCTAAGTTATAATTAAATAAACTGAACATCATGTTCCTATTGATGTCTTAATCTGGCGCTCTTATTTTGTCTCATTTATCACAGTTTGAGTTGTCTGAAGCGAGCTGTTTCTGCACAATAAAGGGATAATTCTAACCTGAGTCCGTCTCCTGCAGAGCTGTTGCCAGCCTGAGCGAGCTTCATGTGTATTCACAAGATACGCCATAAATTATTAGTTAGATGTTTTTTTAAAGCCAACACAAACTCTCGTATTCAAGCTATCCTTTAACCTGCAATCTACCGACTCCGGAGCTCAGCGCTCAGATAAATCAGCTTTATGACACACTTCAGCCTAAATCTAACCTTTATCCTGGAACCAACAGCGGATCATAAAAACCGTCCCTCCATCCATGTGATGTCTGTACGTAACGCTGAAGTGCACAGTATGGACACATTTAGGTTGACTTGGGAAAACAGAAACGTGGAAGGAAAGGCAAAAAGAAAAAAAGACATCAAGGGAGTAAAATGAGTGGATGGCGGGATATAAAATAAGTTGGACAGATAAAAAGTAAGGCTGAGAGTGAAATTGACTTCTGAAGACAGAGCGTAACATCGGAAGAGACAAGGGACACAGAAGTGATGAGAAATATAGAAAAACGCATAAAGAAACCGGGCCGTACTCCGGGGACTTTTACAGCTTTTCCATGAATCACAAATTAAGACGTACAACGCTTCTACTCTCCCTGCTTCTCCTCCAGCGTAGATGTTTGTTTCATGTCTCCACCAACCGCCCATGGAGGAATCACACCCTCGCACAGCTCAGGAGATCAATACAGCCACGAGAGATGTGTGTGAGCAGATTTCACAGAACTGAACAAGGGTGGGAAACAAATAAAACTCTGGCTGGTGCATAGAAAAAGAAGAACACAACAGAACATGATGCGGTAATTGTACCGTGACAGTGACAGCAAACACAAATCAGAAATAAACAACGAGATGAAGAGACGCACAGAAGAAAACATGAGACGATGACGATGCGGGGTCACCACAGGTAGAAGAGCACGTAGTCGACGTAGCTACCTAGAAAGGCCATGACGCAGATGCTGATGGCGAACATGGAGCTGAGGCTGAGGCTGTTGCCGTCCTCGTTGTGGAACATGGCCAGCGTCACCTCGCAGTGCCGTCCCCGGTAGCCCTCGCTGCAGTGGCACGAGTAGCGGGACGGGGAGTGGGCCACACAGGTGCCGTGGCGACAAGGGCGGCTGGCGCACAGCGTGTAGACGCACACTTTGCCCAGCGAGCCCTCTTTGGTCATGTGGCCCGGAGGGCACCTGCGCAGAGAAGACACAGGGCGTAAAGCCACGAGACAAGAAGCACTCGGGAAGCTGTCAGATAAAAGAACACTGAATTCTACAGAGCTACGAGACCTAAGCTGACAGTGTAAAAATAAATCCCGCAGGAGTTACACCTCTTATAGCAGATCCAAAGATATGCTCTTTGAAGGTTACAGAGTGTCGGCTGTAACCGGGAAAAGGGAGAAAAAAAAACACAGAAGAAGAAACGGAGACGCTCAGGATTGGCTTTGCAGTGCGAGTCCCTCAGTATATTTGTACAAAATATCCCTGAATATCATTCACCCCCAGCCCCCTGCCTCTCTCAGCGCTTTGTGTCCTGAGGCGGTGCGGCAATCACAGAATATGGATGTCAAAGTCCCCACTGGTTGGAGTCTTGAAATCACAGCCAGACTTGGTGGTCCTGCAGAGTTTAAAGGGGCAGCCAGGACTCAGACAGTCACTGCTGTTAGACGCCATTCTCTCAGGTTGACACACCATTAGACACACTGAGCAGCAGGGCCGCGCTCTGCCGCGCTGCCACCTGCTGGACGCTCTCACTGCAAGCGAGCAGAACCGGACCGGATCACTTCTGCTCTCTGAACGTGCTGCGTGTTTTACCTGCATTAATTAGCACATGCTTGATTTCCTTTGGTACATGTGGATTTAAAAGTCATAACTACTGACTTCATCATGGACCTTTTCACAGCCAAAGTTCTTAGAGGTCCGACCTTTGTGTGTTCTGGTTCACTGTCCAGAGTTAGTGGGAAGCAGCCATCAATAACACACGGGCGCTTTACTAATATTTCATCGTTGCCAGTTATTTATGATTCACAGATACTGAGTGTTTCTCTTTCTAATCAGTTATTGATCAAACTTAATAAGTCACAGGTATTTATATGTTAATGAGGACCAATAAAAAGTTAAGGTCATTGATTAAACCTCTAAAAACTCATCTCTGGGTATCAAAGTTACATATTTTGAAGTTTTTCCAAGAAAAGAATCCATTCTTGGCTCAGACGTAGCTTGAGGATGTCGCTTCCTCCAGAATGCAGCGATCCATGAAGTCCACACGTCCCTCTGAGCTCACCTCCTGGACCTCAGCTCCACGGTCAGCACCGTAGAACCGCTCTACACAACGACAGGGTGGAATACTGGAGTATTTCAACCACATGGTCAAACTGATTCCATCCATCATCTCTACACCTTAATCCTCACCAGGGTCATGGGGGGCGGAGCCTATCCCAGCTGACTCAGGGTGAAGGCAGGTTCACCTGGACAGGTAACCAGTCTATCACAGGGCTACACTTAGAGACAGACAACCAAGCACACTCACATTCACACCTACGGACAATTTACAATCACCAATTAACCTCAGCATGTTTCTGGACTGTGGGAGGAAGCCGGAGAACCCGGAGAGAACCCACGCTGCACGGGGAGAACATGGAGACTCCACGCAGGAAGATCCCGGGTGTCCTCACCGGGACGCCAACCGGCGACCTTCTAGCTGTGAGGCGCTAACGGTGCTAACCACTGAGACACCTGCAGCCCTGGAACTGATTCTGAAGAAGCAGAATGATGCAGAAAGCTGACGGGTCGGTTCTTCAGTTTGCAGTAAACCAAACCTGGGAGGTTGGAGTCTGTGTGATGGAGACGGCCATCACTGCAGTGTCGAGGAGGAAAATGCCCAGCGATGTTCTCGTAGTTTAGTCGTAGCAACTGGACCTGCTTGAGTTCCTTGAAGACGTTCCACCTTCATCCAAGAGGCTTCATCAGCTCTGACTGACTGGTTGGGAGGTCCAGATACTTAACAACATACAAACCCCCAACTGAAACCCAAACTCAGTGTTAACGTCTCCTTCAGGATATCAGGATATCTGGAACTCCCAACCAGTCCGTCAGAGCTGATGGAGCCTCTTGGATGAAGGTGGAACGTCTTCAAGCAACTCCAGCAGGTCCAGTTGCTACGACTAAACTACGAGAAACACCATGACCTGGAGGACTGAGGATCTTCACAGACAAGCCCAACAATGGTGCTGACTGCTTATTGTGCTCATCTAGCACATAAAAAACACCATGAACATGTTAACAAGCTAAAAAAAAAAACTTTATTTCACCAGACAAAAGTCTTTAATGTCTGACTGGACGTAGCTGCCAACAGGAGATGTTCCAGCTACCCAGACATCCACAGTCACTGTAGTCACGTCTGTTTTTTAAAGATCTGCTTGATATTTGGACCATTGCTTCATGTGTCTGCTTGTCATCGTTCAGCTCAGGGCTCTTCATGTAAAGCCACATTACTGTTACTGGGATGCATGTTGGGAATCTCCACGCCGTGTCCCTGACATGTTGTCTTTTCAGACCAATGCGCCTGCAGTCTGGCAACAGAAGCTTTGTCTTCCTGTTGTCATGTGTTTCATTTGAACTCACACACAAATAAAGGCTGATTGCCAGCCAGAGTTTACAGCCAACCAGTGGTTTCCACCTAGAAGGAGGTTTTTCTCAGAGCAGATCAGTGGCTTCACAGTGAAAGCGCCTGCTGTAGTAAATCTATACGGCACAACTACTCAGGTCTTGACACACTTGGTTAATGTAATTTGCGAGTTGAGTGCCGGCTTTACTAATTTTATTATAAGCAAGGCTGTGCTGTGCATTTCTTTTCCCGTGGATGTATGTGTGTAAATAGGTGCAGAGCACTCTGAGGGCTCATTAAAATGCTGGATTATTTACTCGGTATATTTACTGCACCTGCACTCGTGCTGTCTCCAGAGGTCCACGCAGACCAGGGGAGGGGAGCAGTGGTGCTTCCTGCAGGCATCTGAAGAGCAGCCGACAGAGACGCCCTGCGAACTGACCACTTGAAGCCCCTCTGAGGGCTGCTCCGGATCAAGAGGGATGGAGCGGCCGTTAAACCTCACATCTCGCAAACAGCCTGGTGGAGGAAGACGGAGAGAAAGAGGAGAAAAAAGAGAGAGTTTACAATACCAGAAGACACACTGAGACACCTGTCCTCGGGCAAAATCTTTTATAGACACACATTTACAGAGCGGCAGGGGTGTTAACTGAAATACGCAGACACACATGCATAAATGCACATCAACAGACTGGCTGACACACCTGCAGGCCGGTGCACACGTGCACGCTCACGCAGGGAAACACACAAACAGCCTCGGGCTAAGCTGTCAGCATGGACCTTTTTTTTGCAGGATATTTTCTCTGCTGGTTAGTTTGCTCGCTCTGTGGGAAGCACCAGGTCTAAAACATCATTTAAATACAGATCAGTGTCACTGACTCACTTTCTCTCATCTGTTTGAAACTAAGGCATAAAAACACCTTTGGGCCAGGTTGTGAAATGCACAAGCCCCAGTAAGTGGTCGGGATAAACACTGAATCATCTGCATGTCCAGCTGTGTGCTCCACTCCTCTGAGGACGTGCTTGCACATTGATTCTTTCACAAACTAGCCTATTTGCTAATTTATCGATCATCAATTCATATCTCAGCTCGTCTAGCAGTTCATCTTAATGCACACTCATTCAGCCTCATTCCTGCAGAGCAGCAGGATCCTACCGAGGAAGCTCCTGTTGTGGCCCGAAGGAAACCAGTTTCCGAGCATCACCACAGACGGGTCAATGATGATCTCCTGACTGCGGCCAGGCGAGGCCGTGACCTCCTGCCGTCCTCCGCCTCCGTCCAGTCGCAGGGTGAACTCTCTGCCGTAGCGATCCACCTCCACCTCGTGCCACTCCCCGTCATCCAGCCGGCGGTAGGGCAGCGTGACGTTGTAGTCTCCGTCTCCGAGGTTGAAGAGAACGGCCAGCAGACCCTGAACAACCTGAGAGGAAGCAGGAAGAAAAATAAAGGTATTTTAATCTTTCGCAGCAGCTCCATGTTTAAAGTATCAGAAGTCCTCCACTGGAGACTTTTGCTCTGCTGTGAAATAAGCTGGTCAAGCCTCGTCGTCAGCTGCAGCAACACTATTTGTGTCAGTGTACATTTCAGGGCTTGTGAATAAAACTGCAAAGTGGGGTGACACAAATTCTAAGTGACTGACAGTGTGACAGACCTGGACTCCTGCCACAGTGTGCTGTGTTGATGGGCAAAAACAGGTCCTGAGCATAAAACCTTATAAAGAAAAAAAAAAAGAAAGTAGGCCAGCTCCTGCAGTGGAGAAAAGCCAGTCGAGGCTGGCCCGGGCAACTATTGTATAATTTAACTGCATGGACAAAACTCTCCGTGGTGAACATTGCTGAAAAAAAAAAGAAAAAATGGAGGAAAATTTCAGTGGTGAAAATTAATTCAGCAATTCTGCAGCCATGATGCTTCACAAGATGCCGCACACATCGCTACCATCACCACATGGCAGGAGCCGGAGTCGTCCCGAAGGGAAGGTATACAAGAAACAACAATTATCTTCAGCAGTTAAGGATGAGCGAACACAATGGAGCCAACCAATGAGAGGCTCCCATAACTGCAGCTTGTACATGTCCAAAGCTTAATTGGAAACAGTGGGGCAAGATAATTCACATTCAGCCCAGCCTGCATTAACTACTGCTCCCTCAGCATGGGCATCTCAAATGAGCCTCCCCTACTGGACACGCACACACGGAAAAAAGCTGACTGTACCCTCCCAGAACCGGATCCTGCCCTCAAGTCCACAACAAAAAAAGAGCACAGGACTCAATCAATACTCAGGGAAAATCTGATTATATCAATTTCTCTGCAGCGCCCCCAGAGATCTATGCAATCACCATTAAGTACAAAATGTTCAAGCAAATGTCTGAAGTCTGAACTTTCACATTTCAAATGAAATTTAACGGACAAAAAAAAAAAAAAGCCTGACTTGCGAGTTTCCGTGTTCTTGGGGGCTGCTGGTCTCTGACAGTCCTGTGGTGCACGCCAGCCCCAGAACGTCTTCACAGAGTGCATTAGATAAATGTTTTCTTTACAGAGACACCACACTCCTTGGAGAGCTGCATGCTGTTTATACCCAGCTAGCCCCTGGTAACCTTTGTGTGAAAGTGTGGTTATTTATTCAGTGTGCACTCTATCCCATATCTACCCTTAAGAAAAAAAAAAAGGGCAGAGAAGCAGCCTTTTAAATTAGAGCTTGTTGTCGGAAAACACACCAGGCTTGTGCTCAAGTGTTTCTAAGAGCTCTGAGACAACTGGGCTGAAAATTTTTCAGCGTGCTGCTGCAGACAGACATCAGATGCTTTATACAGCTCACCAGCTCAGCTCCGGAGAGGGCTTCGCAGCCAACATACAGTAAAGGCTACAGCCTTTTCCTTTTTCTGTCACTTTGGCGAGGCAGCGAGGGAAGAGGACAACATTGTTTTTTCCTCGTGTAGTGTAAAGACCCGGAGAAGAACAAGAGTTGATGCTTTAAACAGTGCTGTCTGACAAATAACAAGCACAAGCTCAAAGACAAGACGTGCTCGACGACAGGCCGGTGGTGTGGAATCCAGCACAACACCGACAGGTTCACTGCAAACAGGTGACCTGTGACTTAGCCAAAAGTGACAGTTCTAACAGAGTCGTTTACTTCCAGGTGCTGTTCACAGCCGGCCTGTCAGTCAGCCAGACGAGAGGCTGTGACAGGAAACACTGGCTTCATATCCACTCAGGAACACGTCAAGCAGGAGAGGCATGCTATTACGGATGTTTGGCAAAGTGAGCCAGACGTTACCGGCTGTGAGAAACAATTTATACGCCGCTTTTGGCAAAGTAAGCAGCATGTATACGGACATGAAGCCACGTCGGCATCCCAGAGCACAGAGCAGGGAGTCTGACCTTCCATCAGCACACAGTTGTTCTTTTTGCATCGCTGAAATGTGCTTGAAAGATTAACAAGAGACAGAAATAACCTTGAATAAAAGGCCTAATTTTTTAAAATAGCATCCTCTCAATAGCGGCATTCTGCAGACTTACTGAAAGACCTTGTTGACAACATACGTATGTCAATCAGCAGCCCCCTCAGCATCCTCCCATATGTCTCCAACCCTGATATTACTCACTCTCAGCCTGACAAGCATTTGCAGCAATCATTGTCCGCGGCTAATCATCATTTTAAGGCTCACAAACACGACAATCGCAGCTGTCAAGGTGGAGGGCAGTGAGCGCCTGTGACTCACCTCCAGTCGAAGGTACTCGTTCTGCTCCTGGGAGAGCAGGCTCAGGATGACTCCGGCGCCGGCCCGCGTCCGAACCCCAACCTGGACTCGGGTCTTTCTGGCGGGCAGGGACCACAGGAGCTGCAGCTGAATGTGGCTCCGGCCATCAAAGGAGAACTCTGGGGCCGCTTGTCAATCAAAAGAACACAAGGCTTGTTCAGTTAATTCACCTGTCTAATGGGAAACACATGAAGATATCAGAGCGCAGGGGGAGCGCTGTAAGGCCAGGTTATCTCCCCACAGCAGCACGCCTCCCATATGGCTCCTACAATTAGATATAGAACACACTGCAGCTTTCTCATGAATACCTGACTGCCAATTAACAAGCCATGCTTACCTTGGTCACACTGCGGCCCTGTAAACCCTCTTTCACACAGGCAGCTCAAAGAGCCCCGCTCGCCGTGACAGCGACCCCTCTTGCCACAGGAGGGAAGCGCCGCCACGCTGGCGCAGTGGCCATCAATAAGAGCACAGCCCGGCAAAGTGTTGGAGGATTCAGCCGGGGAGCCAAGGTCATAGAGCTAAATGGAAGCAGAGGAGGAACAGGAGAAAGAAAAAAAATGTAAAAAATGAAGAGGAGAGAAACACGAAGAGGGGAGCAAAATGAAACGTAGACGTCTGTGTCCTTGCTATCCTGGTGGACAAGAAATGAGAGTGCAGACAGAGAGAAATGATTAAATGTGACATACCATAGATTTACATCCCATTCATGATTTGTTTTAATGATATACTGCATCTGTTGCAGAAGGTCACGGAGACGCCACCGTCACGAGCAG